TTTGACTGAACTGTGTCTGCTTTCTTAAGGTTTGCTGTAATTATAATGGGGGCTCCATATGTAAGCTGAGACAAAGATTTAGCCTTAAATAATCTAAGGGCAGCCACAGGACATTTACCCCCTTTGTTCCAGTAAAATTTTTGAATTGCCCCAGAGCTCCTTTTAGCCTCTGAGACAACAGTATTTATATTCGCCGATCTTGAAACATTTGCCTGGAAGAAAACTCCCAGGTACTTAAAAGATGAAACTTGTTCGATCGGAATCGTGTTTAGAGACCAACGATAAATTTTGGGTGATTTATTTTTTGCAAAAGCCATTAGTTTCATTTTGGAGTAGTTGACCTCTAATTTATTCTCCCAGCAGTATTGGGTGAAAGTGTTCATAGCTTTCCTCAGGCCTGCTGGGGTCCTTGAAAGTAAGACAGCGTCATCTGCATATAAAAGGACCCCAATATGTTTATTGCTTAACTTAGGGGGATGGAACTTAGGTTTATTTAGATATGTTACCAGATCATTGATGCAGAATTTAAAAAGGAGAGGCGCTAAAAGGCTTACTTGTTTAACCCCTCTACTAGTCCTAATAGGATCTGTGAGGTGCCCCTGTGGGGAACACCTGACCTGTACATAGGTCTGATTGTAGAGCGCCTGGATTAAGAATAATCATCTGTTGATACTTGTCTCCCTTAACTTCTTCCATAATATATCTCTGGCAACTGAGTCAAAAGCTGATTTCAGATCCAGGAAGGTGTCAAAAAGAGATACCTTTGAATTAGAAGAGTCCTTTGAGATCAAGTGGTCCAATACCACACAGTGATCCAAAGTAGACCGGCCCTCCCTGAGTCCCACCTATTCATCTGCTAAACAAGAGTTCTCCTCCATCCAATCCCTAAGATTCCACAGGAGATGTTTTGCGTAGAGTTTGCCTGCTGTACTAGGCAAGCTAATGGGTCTGTAGTTGTTAGGATCATCTTTTTTACCTTTTTTGTAAAGGGAAATAATCATCGCCATACCCCTATCCTTAGGGATTTTCCCTGTTTGATCTATTTGTGTGAATAGTGAATATCAGTGTATTTCTCAAAAAAGTGGGCTTTTTGTTTCTATCATGGTGCGACCTTCAACAGAGTGATTGGCGGGATAGAATATACAAGAGGTTGAGAACCACTGTGCTAAAGAATATTTGTTCCTCCTGGTCGGACTACATTTTCAGTATAGCCACAACTGGTTACAGTTCTACTGAACACAAAGTCATGAAAAACCCCTTTGATTTGGGTTGCTCAAAGGACAGGCATTTGTTATTACTGTGAGTGGTGCAGAAAGACTAGTGGAAGCAGAGCACAGAATAGTTGTTCAGCTGTCACTGCTGTTTCCAGTTCTGCAAACCAGACATCCCAAAATGGCACAGTGTTTGATATCTGTCCAAGTATGTCTTGATTCTATTTGATGTGATTTGTGAGGATTATCCTTGAATTCCTGGATTCATAGGACTGAAATAATTTCCCACATTTCCCATTAAACAATGTGGTGAGTAGCTGGTACAGCAGTTTCCAAGCCTTCCTTCCTTGCTTGTTTGCTCTTCTTAAGGCCATTTTCATAGATCGGCCAATGGACACAAAACCTCAATGTTGTTAAGGTGTTGGGTCCTGGAATGTCCCATCTTCTTCATGCTTCTGTGCCTAGACGGACTGGCATAGGCCACTGCCATCTGTAACTTCTCACTAATTGAGTTTGTATTTTACTCACCTGTATCCATGGAATTTCAAGTAACTTGGCCTGCAGATCAGGGTTCCTGCTGTAAATGGATTCTATAGAGTATTGTCTTCCCTGGCAATTGCTTTAAAGGACTCAGAGGCTTGAAAGGGACTGCTGATTAAGAGCCAGCAGCAGCTGCTCTGAACTGTCGGTTGTCTGACTCTCCCTCATCCTCCATAACCTTGGAACCAATGTTCCCTCTAAGCTGTGGAGTCTTGTGAGCAAAAATTCTACTTTGTGAGCTACTGGCATTAAAGTTGTGAGCGAGCAATTTGGCTGCTGCATAAATTAGTTTGCCCTGGAGCCATCCTTTCTGAGCGAAGGCAAAAATCTGTGAGTCGGAGGCTAAAAAGCTGTGAGCTAGCTCACACTAACTCAGCTTAGAGGGAACACTGCTTGGAACCTTTTGGAATTTGTCTTAGGTGGGCTTGGTTTGGATATATATGTTCTCATGCCAGTGTACTAAAGCAAGATTTGTGGCCATTGTTTCCCCTTAGTGGGGAAACGTTTCAGCTTGGATCCTATGGCATTGTTCACCCTGTGCTTCACTAAGGTTGTGGTTGCAAAAATGCTAACAGCAGAGAACGCAAGTACTGCAGCAGCAGACAGTCTCCACAGTGGACTAATAGAAGCACAAGGGGAACAATTTAATAGGATCCAAGTGTTGGCAGAGTTCAGAAATAATCCAATCCACGCTTTGGAGTTTGTTTTCACTGAATTTACTGCAAAAGGAGTAAAGGAGGCGAAGCTTGTTGCAACAAGGGCCAGGTCCTTTTCAGTGGCGGCTCCTATCTGGTGGAATGAGCTCCCGGCAGAGATCGGGGCCCTGTGGGACATTTTGCAGTTCCGCAGGGCCTTTAAGACGGAGCTCTTCCGCCAGGCGTATGAGTAGGAGCCGCCACTGCTACTGGGATTACCATCACCGTTCTCCAGAGAGTATTACTACCGGAAGACCGTGTGACATCTAAACGGGGCCCGAGCCTTCCCCTGCTATGCAGAACGTGGAGTTTGTTTTTCCTCTCTCTCTTGCATTCGGAATAGAAGTGAATTTTTAAATTGCTTTTATGTATTTTTATACTGTAATTTATATGCACTTTGTGCTTGTGTAAGCCACCCTGAGCCCGCTTGCAGGGAGGGCGGGGTATAAATGTAATGAAAATAAATAAATAAAAGGATTTTTGCAAAGAAGACATTAACTGACTGCAGGCCATTAATACAACAGAGAGGCCTACAGAGCACAAGCACTAACACACACTAACATATAGCAGAGAGAGAGAACAACAAGAGGTATGTTGAACTGCAATTGAAAACTTTCAATAAATCATAAACACTAGAGAATGCTCCACAGCTCCCCCGGGGTACAAGTGGACTAAACTACTCTTTCAGCAGTATTTACTCCCCTGAGCCTGCTTGTGGGGAGGGCGGGATATAAGTGTGATAAAATAAATAAAAATAAATAAACTAGACTCTTAGTGGGCTATCGCTTCTCCAACACCTTTTGTCAGTATGTTTTCCCTAGCATTTATTTTGCTGCCTAACTACAGAGCATGCAGTTTGATTTTTTTTCCTCTGATCTGCAGTTGTGTAGAGTGTAGACCCCATTTCTATTTACCTGTACATTTTTAACCCTACTCTTTCTCAGGGTGGTGTATCTGGCTCTCCCTGTGAGGAAGGTTAGATTGATGATGTGAATGGTCAAATGTCACCCAGTCCTAATCTAACATTTTAACTTTTTACAACATTCCAGCTCACCAAATGTTAAGTTTCACCCACACGTAACCTAGCAGGTTCACAGGCACGGACAGAGGTCATTTCGGGGGGGATCGCAGTTCCCCAGGGTAAGGTACGGGGGGCGGGGCACATGACGAAGCGCCGCCCCGCTTCCGGCCCTCATTCAGCCAGGAGAAGGCAGGAGAAGAGGGAGGGTAAGTTTCTTCCTCCCTGCGTCTCCTCACCCCTGCCTGCCTGGGGCCAGGGAGGGCCTTCGTGGGGCTTCCTTGCACTTCCACCGGCCTTGCATGTCCACCGCCGGGCCCCTCATGGGGCTCAGCAGTGGAGCTGCGTGGCTGGGACCGTTGGGGGCGGGGTGTGTGGCCTTATGACACACTTCCGGTGATGTCAGGGGGTGTGGCATATGCTAATGAGTTATGCTAATGAGTTCCCCTAGCTCTTTTTCTACGAAACGACTCCTGGGCACAGAGAAATATGAAGAAATGCATAGCCTTTAAAAAAATCCCTGTTTTATATTAATTCCAGAATTACCTGTTCATCCCACTCTTTCAAATATATACATCTCATAGCTCACTCATTCTGAGGGAGGCATATTCTAATCCTCCAAAGGGGAAGACAATTTGGATTCTTCTAGCCATGCATACACACTGAACAGAAGCCTTGAGCCTTTAAGTTCAGCAGATGTGAACTAGAGCTCTGCCTGCCTTTTGTCCCAGGCCAAAAACCTGTTAGGAATCGAAGGTACAAGATGATGGAAAAGACAATACCTTCATAGGTTGGATTGGGAAGATCTAGACCTTTCAGTCAATGGTGATGCTCTGAGAGCTCAGATGAACACATTTAGGAAGGGTGAGGAAGCTGCCTGGAAGAGACATCTCAGTGCATCAGAGGCATCCCAGAGCCACTATCAGAGTGTCACTGCAAACGGGATATGTTTTAAGATATTTTCTTTTTCCATTTTAAAACATTTTTGTCAAAATGATATGTAGATGGTTTTCTCTGAGCCAATGTGGGCAAGCAGTAGTAGTCATACTTTTTGTAGCTGATACAGGCAACTTTTAAATCCAGCATATTCTCTCAGAATTACGCCAAAAGAGATTCACAGCTACAAAGTCCAGTGCCAAACTTTGTTGGTCTTCAAGGTGCCACTGGACTCAAACGTTGTTCTGCTGCTTCAGACCCACACGGCTACCCCACCTGAATCAATTTTACTTCAAGGACTGGCTGACGTCGGTCTTGCAAGGTCTATTTTTTAAAAAAATTACTGTCTAAAAACTTTAAGTGCATATTCCAAGCTTTCTTAAAAATATAACAAATCTGATACATGATCCTGAGTCTGTACTCTTGGTTTATGTCATAGGAAGTACCTTGCTGGATCATAGGAGGGTCCAGCACTTTTTGTAACCAACAGGCACTAGGAAGTCCATCAGACAATGACAGATGCTCCAGCCCTGCTTTAATGGATGACATTTGATGACAGTATGACACTATAAAAATGACCCTTCCCTCTCTTTCATTTAGATACAAGGCAACTTCAACCATCTCCCCCTTGGCCATATGACCCATCTTATCAATATCTGGGACCAATTGCAACTCCATCAGTGCATCCAGCAACACCAATTTCACCTGGAAGGGCTAGTGGAATGACATCCCTGTCTGCTGAACTTTCTAGCCGACTGACAGGTAAGTCCCTGATTTTTAAATTTTTTTTGCTAAACCCTGTATTCTCAAGATGTGAGAGGGGCATCAAAGGAGATACCAACAATTGGCAAGGAAAGAAGAATCTCCAGCTCAACCTTTCCTCAGATTCATTCTTGTATGTGCCTTCTTTTGCTCTTTTTCCCTTGTTTCTCTCTCCTGTGGAATGTCATAGAATCATAGAATGTTAGAGTTGGAAGGGACCTTCCAGGTCATCTAGTCCAACCCCCTGCACTCTGCAAGAGCACAGCCGAAAGATAGCCCTACAACATACCCGAAAGATGGTCATCCAGCCTCCACTTGAAAATGTTCAGTGAAGAAGCATCCACCACATCCTGAGGCAGTCTGTTCCACTGCTCAACCACTCTTACAGTTAGGAAGTTTCTCTTGATATTTAGCTGGTAACGACTCCCTTGTAATTTCCACCCATTAGATCCAGTCTTGCAATCCGGAGCAAGAGAGAATAGATCTGCTCCATCTTCTACATGACAGCCCTTCAGATATTTGAAGACTGCAATCATGTCCCCTCTAAGCCTTCTCTTTCCCAGGGTAAACATACCCAACTCTTTCAGCCTTTCCTCATAAGACTTGGATTCCAACCCTCTCACCATCCTGGTTTACCCTCTTCTGGACACGCTCGAGCTTGTCAACATCCCTTCCTAAAATGTGGTGCCCAAAACTGGACACTGTACTCCAGTTGAGGCCTGACCATAGCAGAATAGAGTGGAACTACCACCTCCCGTGATCTGGACACAATGCTTCTGTTAATGCATCCTAAGATTGCATTAGCTTTCTTCACAGCCACATCGCACTGCAGGCTCATGTTTAGCTTGTGATCAACCAGAACACCTAGATCCCTTTCACATGTGCTGCTTTCAAGCCAAGTCCCTCCCATTCTATATCT